CTGTGGCTCTTCAGTGAGCTCAAGCATTGCAGATACTTGCTTAAAATTCTGTGAGCAGTTTGTCTCCTCAATAAAGTACATATTAAGCAGTGATCTCTCACAATTGTAGCTTATATTTCCCCATGTATAATGCATACAATGCCTATAACATACAAAATATGTGTTATTCAACTTTGTACAGTAAGTTTTCTGATCTACAATAGGCAGTCAATAAGGTTTTGGGGGAGTCAAAGTTACACATGAATTTTCAGCTGTGCTTATGATCAGTGTCCCTATTCTCTGGGCTGTTCAATGGTCAATTGTATTCATTTTGTTTATCCCATTGCTAGTCCTCTGCTGTATGTTAGGAGAATAGAGGGCTGAAAACTGATTATTTTATAGTTCAAATGTTTATAGACCAAAAGGAATCTAATGTGAACTTAACATAAAGATCACTTCACAGTACCCAGAAATCCTGGGCATTGACCCGAAGGGTCTAGGAATGTGTTCCTTGAGGGAAGGGATGATTGTGCTGTCTGTGCAGGAGAACTCAAAGAGCAAATACAATATTGACTGTCCAGAATGATGGACTCTTTCCCCAATAACTAGGGATTATTAAAGTCTTCATTTGTTTCCCTGAAATTTTTCAACCTTTTAATTTAAGATGGGGACTCTGAGAGCTCTCCTGAATAATAGACTATAAGCAAATTTAACATGTTTAAATTCAGAGAGGTGACCATTGAAAGCTGGCCACTGTGTGTCACCTTCAACATTTGCTTCCATTGAGGGAGGCACAGAAAGTGAAATGGGGAATGAACCCCTAAAATGTATACGAAAATCTGGCCCCTTAAATTTCCCCAGAATTTGGGGTGCCATATGATATCACCATATGCTTATTAATAAATCCCCAATATTAATAAGCCGGAGAGGATTCTTGCCCACTATTTAGAGAAGAATTCTAAATACCGGCATCCATAAACAAGGCAGCATGGTATATTTCAGGCTTTTATTTAGTGCGGAAGATGCAAATGAGAGTGAGAGCTTTATTTAAGAGAGAGAGGTAAATCTGGGTTCATACTGAGCACCAGGAACCAGCCACGTGGAAGAGCATTTATGCAGGAAGCCTAGGGAGGGTGGCCCAAAGGCCATGCTCCCTGGAGGTACAGGACTACAGCCAGCTCCCTCCTGGGCATGAGGTCACACAGGGGTGTGGCGAAGGCGTGGTCTTTCAGCTCACAAAGCTAATTGATTTTAACCTGTATGCCTGCCTACTTCAAAAGAACTGTAAAACAGTTCTCACCTGTCCATGGATGATTATATGGTATTGACAAATAAAGCTTTATTTTCTTATCATTGAAATTCATTTTTTGCTATTATTGCACTGAGTGTGTCTTCCAGTAACTCACCATTGAGCTCCATTCACTTAAATGTATTAAGTTCATAGTTTCCTCATGTACAAATTTAGATAGTGATCACAATTAACTATTTACTGTTTTACAGGTTAAATAGGTCTGTTAATGGATATATTCGATGGCATGGTACAAACTAAGTAACTAGTTATTGTTAGTTTTCTTCTTATTTTTAATTTCCCTAGCAAATTGTAAACCAGGCAGGATATAATATAGATTATACACATTAAAAAGTATATATGAATGGGGCATTATATTCAACAAAATAGAATATGATGGGTTGATTTGTGACTTGAGGATAACTGAAAATATTTGAAATAGTATTTGAGGTAGTAGTGCTAGGTTTTGATAGAAAAGGGAAAATATGAATTAAGAAATGGTTCCAAATATTGTTAAAGTCCTGATGAAGCTAGAAACATAATTTCATTCATATTAGTGAAGTAGCAAGAGAAAAGAGACAACCTTGGTTCTTTGTCTCATGTAAAAGAATTTTCACGTGGACAAGGCAGATAGAAGCGCAGGATTAATTTATGTCAGGTTGTAGTGGGGTTTATAAGCACAATTTTGAGAGATAAAGAAAAAAACTTGACAATGGACTAGCAATCAGTTACAAAGGGAGGAAGAAATCTATCAAGAGACCTGATTTATAATCTTATTTGCCCTGTCTGGCTTGCTCATGATAAAAGAGCCATCAAAGCCTGGGATATCTAACTTCTTTCTAATCTCACGATGAAACTAGAAACTCAGAGTGGTGGAATGGGCCCTTTCCTCTTCCTGAAGGTAACTTTAAGGGAGAAACATGCAGAGGGATTTGGCACCTTGATTTGCTAAAATAACTTTTGGATGAAGCAAACATTTTGCACCCTCTTAGAGAAACTCCCCTTTCCTTAATTTCCACCAGAACCAACCTGTCTGCCTATTAACCCTTCTGCTCCTCGTAATCCCATCTACTGAATGTTTTCACTTTAAATAATATCTATCAAACTGAGGACAAAATACAATCATGAAAATTACATCATTTCCTGGGTTTGGGAAAAGAAAAGCCTACTACTATGGTTTGGATGCTGTTGGTCCCCAAAGAGTTGCATATGTTGGCAGCTTGTTCGCAGGATGATGATATTGGAAGGTGCTCTGGTTTGAAGACCCTTGGTCTTTGGAAGTGCCACCTTCAGAGGTGAATATTTATTTGCTGGAGTGAAACAAGAGCCTCACCCTAACCAGTTTCTCTGGCTTCTTATTTTTCAAATATGACCCTTTTCTCCTGCCATGAAGGGACTTATGGCAGAGCCTGTGACATGCTATTTTTGAACTCAGCCTCCAAAACTGTGAATTAAATAAACCTAATTTTCTTAATGAATATCCTTGAGTTTTTTTTTTTTTTTTTTTGACAGGCAGAGTGGACAGTGAGAGAGAGAGACAGAGAGAAAGGTCTTCCTTTGCCGTTGGTTCACCCTCCAATGGCTGCCGCGGCCGGCGCGCTGCGGCTGGCGCACCGCGCTGATCCGGTGGCAGGAGCCAGGAGCCAGGTGCTTTTCCTGGTCTCCCATGGGGTGCAGGGCCCAAGCACCTGGGCCATCCTCCACTGCACTCCCTGGCCACAGCAGAGAGCTGGCCTGGAAGAGGGGCAACTGGGATCCTTGAGTATTTTATTACAGTGTAAATGAAATGACTAATAACCATACTGAAAGAAGATCAGCAAAGCACACAGAAAAAGACTGGCTGAGCCCAAACACAAATGAGATTCAAGGACAGGTGGTGGGCTAAAGGGAGGGGATTTTTTAATTTTTTACTCTATAAATATATTTATTTTGCTATAGCATTTCAATTTTCCCTTCTACCTTTCACAAACTGAGTTAAAAATAAAGAAGACTAACCACAAAGTAACAAAAGCTAACAAGATAGAACTTTTAACCAAAATTCCCCTGCCACAGACAAATTGGATTGAGAAGTAATTTTCAAAAATTAACAGGACTTTATCATAAATTTTTCCTGAAATTGAGAATGGGATGGGAAGCTGCATATAGACCAGAGCATTCACTGTGAAATGGGCTATGAAGCCCTTTTGACTTGAATAAACTAAGCAGATTCTCTATATGATAGCACTTGAAAAAAAGATGGGCCCAAAGTAATGGCATATCAGTATGTGGGCATCACAAATAACTTAATGAAACCAAAAATATGATTGAATATGTTCACACTTTTTAGAAATGATGATTCATCTGTCTATCACATATCTATGTATTTAATAGGCAGATTACATTAAATGTTAAAAAAAGAGATCTTAAAGTTGTATTTCATATGTCCTAAAATATAGTAGGTAAAAAAAAACCTCTGTTTTTATATGATTTAAAACCAACCTAGGTGTTGAATTTTCTATTATATCTGGGTAAGGGAATTTGAAATTTGTTATCCTCAAGGGCTTGAAATCCAATTATATCACACAGATCATTAAATGTCACATGTGGTGTCCTAAAGGAGAGAGAGTTGTAGTGTAATGAGAGTTACATCCATTAAAAGTACTTATGAATGGGGAGGCAGTGTTACCTGTTTCCTTGTCAGGCCTGATCTTGTCCCATTGGTATATGCTTTACACAATCCATCAATCAGGAGAATTAATGGCTTGCCTAGAAATTCAGGCCATATGGAGATAATCAAGGCCTCATAAATCGTGTTAGAGCAAATAAACCCTGCAAAATGGGACTGCTAGTACAGCAATCAAATTTCAAAACTGCCTGCCTGCATGCACTGGAAAAGCTGTCAATGATGAAGAGCAGAGGTGAAAATAGAAAATGTCTACTAGAGAAGAGCTTACTAACTCTGTAGAACAGATGTTTCAGATCTTCAGGGAGGAAACGTGACACATCCTCCAATGACAGTTCTGGGTAAAACACTCAACCCTTGCTGTACATTAGGTTGAAGTATACCTTTAAATGAAGTGTCAGCATTAAAGATCCCATTGCCATGAGTCAGATATACTTACTTCCATGCCATACATTGTGTGCTGAACTTGCACTCATTCCCCTATTCTTCTCTTGCATTCTCACTAAAGATACTGCAATTTCAATGAAGAACTTCCCAGTCTGCCTTCATCTAGAATTGAGACCTGCAACCAAAATCTGGACTAGAGGTCCTGAAGGGAATTCTGCTGAAGACTTCTGAGAAAAATTATTTTTGCTAACAGAAGATAGGAAAGAGGTTGAGAAAGGAGATATTGCTACTGATAACAAGAAAATTAAAAGAATTATAAGGAACTATTATAAATAATTATATAACAATAAAATGGAAAGTCTGGAATAAATGAATAAATTTCTGTATAGATACAACCTCTGAAAATGGAATCATGTAGACATAGAAAAACTCAATAGACCAGTAACTGATAATGAGAATATATCAGTAATAAAATAGATTCTAACAAACAAATCTAGGAACAGATATCTTCACTGCTGAATTCCACCAAATGTTCAAGGAAGAACACCAATACTTCTCAACCAAAAAGTTTAAAGGAAAGGAATCCTTACAAACTATTTCTTTGAAATCAGTTATCTTGATCCCCAAAATTAGGCAAAGATAAAACATACAAAAAATGTTAGGCCAATAATCTCAGGGCACATAGACGGAAAAATTCTAAACAATTTATTAGCCAATCCAATACAATAAAATATCAAAAAGATCATTCAGCATGACCAAGTGGGATTTATCCAAGGAATAAAAAATGGTTCAACATACTCAAATAAATAAAAGCAGTACATCACCTCAACAGAATGAAGCATAAAACTCAAATTATTATCTTGATAGATGCAAAAAAAGCACTCATTAGAATCAACATCTATTTTGGTCTTGAACAAATCAGGAATAGAAAGAATATACCTCAACAGAATGAAGGATATATATGTCATGCCCATAATCAAGATCATACTGAATGGAAAAAAGATGAAAGCATTTCCTGTGACATTTGAAATGAGACAAGGATGTCCACTCTGATTGCTCCTCATCGATATAGTATTGGAGTTTTAGTAACAATGAAAGACAGAGAAATAAAATGAATCTACAATTAGGAAGTCACGTCTCTTTGTACAAGACATACTTTTATATAGAGAAAACAAAAGTTTCAATCAAGAGATTATGATATATAAGAAACAATAATTCAGTAAAGTTGCAGGAATCAAATCATTAAACAAAAATCAAAAGCATTTTTATACACACACACACACACAAAAGATCCACTGAGAGGGGCCAGCACTGTAGCACAGCAGGGAAAGCTGCCACCTGACATACCAGCATTCTCTAAGGGAATCAGTTTGAATCCTGCTGTTCCACTTCCAATCCAGCTCTCTGCTACAGCCTGGGAAAACCTTAGAGGATGCTCTAAGTCCTTGGGCCCCTGTACTCACGTTGGAGACCCAGAGAGGCTCCTGTCTCCTGGCTTCAGATAAGTGCAGCATTGGCACCTGGGGAGTGAATCAGTGGATGGAAGAACGAACTCTCTCTCTCTGCCTCTGACTCTCTGTAACTCTGCCTTTCAAATAAATAAATAAATCTTTAAAAAAAAACCCATTGAGAGAAACTATAAGAGCAACCTCCTTCACAACAGCTATAATATGCAGATGAAATACCTTGGAGTAATTAATCAAGTATGTGAAAGACTTCTACCCTGAAAATCCAAAACTATTATGAAAGATATTGAGTAAGACACATAAAAATGGAAATATCCTATACTCATGAATTGGAAGAAAGTTATTAAAATATTCGTACTACCCAAAGTGATTTACATGTTCAACAAAATCTTTATCAAAATATCAACATTCTTATCATAACTAGAAGAAAAATACCTAGAATTCATATGAAAACACCACAGTCAGATAGCAAAGCTATCTTGAAGAAAAAGAACAAAGGGCCAGCGCCGCGGCTCTCTAGGCTAATCCTCCACCTAGCGGCGCCGGCACACCGGGTTCTAGTCCCGGTCGGGGCGCCGGATTCTTTCCCGGTTGCCCCTCTTCCAGGCCAGCTCTCTGCTGTGGCCTGGGAAGGCAGTGGAGGATGGCCCAAGTACTTGGGCCCTGCACCCCATGGGAGACCAGGATAAGTGCCTGGCTCCTGCCATCGGATCAGCGCGGTGCGCCGGCTGCAGCGGCCATTGGAGGGTGAACCAACGGCAAAAGGAAGACCTTTCTCTCTGTCTCTCTCTCTCACTATCCACTCTGCCTATCAAAAAAAAAAATCTTATAAAAAAAGAAAAAAGAACAAAGATGGAGATATCAAAATACTAAATTTCAAGATACACCATACAGTTATTTTAACCAAAACAACATGACACTGATGATGCAAATTGGCGCGAAGACAGAATCCTCTTGCTGAGAAAACTTAGAATCTATATGTAAAAATTAAAACAAACCCCCAACCTCTCACCCTGTAAAAAAGCACCTTAAAATGGATCAAAGATTAAAGATTTTTTTAAAGACTTATTTATTTATTTGAAAGCCAGAGTTATATATAGAGAGAAGGAGAGGCAGAGAGAGAGAGAGGTCTTCTATCCACTGGTTCACTCTCCAATTGGCCACAACAGACAGAATTGCGCTGATCCAAAGCCAGGAACCAGGAGATTCTTCTGGGTCTCCCACACGGGTGCAGGGACCCAAGGACTTGGGTCATATTCTACTTCTTTCCCAGGCCATAGAAGAGAGATTCATTGGAAGTGGAGCAGTCAGTACTCAAAACAGTGCCCATATGGGATGCCAGCACTGCAGGCGTCAGCTTTATCCGCTAAACCACAGTGCCAGCTCCTCAAAGGTCTTAATCTATGACCTCAAACTATTAGAAGATAATATAGAGAAAATACTTCAAAACATTACTGGTATATACAGTTTTTTTATAGGACCCCACAGGCACAGGTGACAAAATAAAAATAGACTCAAGCATTGTATAAAATTGAGAAGCTTCTGCACAGCAAAAGTAACAATCAACACAGTGATGAGACAACCAACAGGAAGGGAGAAATTATTTGCCAACTATGTGTCTGACAAAGAAACAATATCAAGAATGTATAAGGAACTCCTTAAGCTTAACAACAACAAAAACAGCCAATACAATTGAGAAATGGGCAAAGGATCTGAATAAGCTATTCACAAAGGAAGACAGAAAAATACAAAAAAAATGGAAAATGAAAAAGTGCTCAATATCATTACCCAACAGAAAAATATAAATCAAAACTACAATGAACTAGCATATTACTCTAGTTTAAATAGATAGACAGAGATAATAAATGTTGGAAGGATGTGGAGAAAATAAAATCCATATAAACTGTTGGTGGGAATGCAAAGTAGTGTAGTCATAATGGAGAACAGTGTGGATGTTCCTCAAAAAACTGAAAATAGAATTATAAAATGACACAGCTAATCCTCTTTTTCATATTTATCTGATGGAAATGAAATCAATGTATAAAAGGAAAATCTTCCCTCCTCTGTTATTGCAGAACTATTTACAATAGCCAGGACAGGGAATCAACCTACATGGTGATGGATAAAAGAGTGGTTAAAGAAAATATAAAGCATGTATTTTAATGTTTATTTGTTTGAGAGGCAGAGTGACAGAAAGAGGAAGAGACACATAGAAAGAGAGAGATCTTTCATCCATTTGTTCACTTCCGAAGTACTCATAACAGGCTTGGCTGACCCATATCAAAATCAAGAGCCCGGAACTCCCTCATGTGAGTAGCAGTGACTCAAGTATTAGAGCTGTCATCTGCTGCCTTCCCAAGTACAGTAACAAGAAGCTGGATCAGAAGCAGCGCAGCCAGACTTATCAGTCTGATATGGGAAACAGATGTCCCAAGTGGTGACTTAACCCATTGTACCACAATACTCACCTCTACAATGAAATACTATTCAGTCACAGAAAATGAAATTCTGTCATTTGCAAGATATTAGATGGAACAAGAGATCATTATATCAAATGAAATAGCCAGACAGAAGAAGACAAATACTCTTTATTCTGTCTCATATGTGAAAATCATATTATGATATAGATATGTGTAAATATAATGATAGATGATTGATAGATATAAAAACTGAATTTAAAATTTATATTTCTCAATGATGGGAAGAATTGGGGTGTTAGAGTCAGAGAAGTTGGATAATGGGGACCAAAACACAGTAGGGTAGTGTAACAGTTTCTGGTGTTTTGCAGTGTAGTATGGTAGGAATAGCTAATAATAATATGCACAATCACCCATATAAAGAACTAGAAAAGAGGAGCTAGTAAGCCCCAAATACAGAGAAAAGGAAATGCAAATGCAAATTTTCTGGTATTATCATTTTATGCTGCATTTATGTTTTGAAATATGGCTCTGTACTCTTAAAATATTCAAGTATCACATGCTAATCCAAAACTTAAAAAGAAAAATAAATATAGGTAGGAGAGTGTTACCCCCTTGATTACCTAATATTGGACACCCTTATGCAAGGACATATTGACTGGGGCAGTGGTCAGTGGTAGTTTTAATTAGTAGACACTGTATGGAACAAACAATGGCCTAAAGTTTAAGACGTGTTAATGTGGGAAAAGACTCAGTTTTGATTCCATTATTCATCTGTTAAACTGTCCCTGGAAGCACCATGTTCTCTGTTGTGATGGGAGTCAATAAATGTTATTATTTAAGCCAGTGCTTCCCAAATTTTAGCATCACTATGAATCACTTGAGGGCCTTGTTAACATTCAGACTCTGAATCAGGAGATCCAGGGTCCTGGCTGATAATTTGTGTAACAAATAACACCTAGGTGACCTCTAAGTCATGTATATACTAAGTTACAAGGATTTAAGCCACTTTAAATTATGTTTTCAGATACTTACACAACTTGACACTTTTGAATAAAGAGTGAGTGACCAAAAAGATGAATCAAACCTAAATATATGCATGATAAGCTTTAGCAATTCTCCAGCTATACAAATGTATTGCTGTTCTAACTGTATATGAGGATTTGAGATGATCAAAGTCTGACTTCAGATTTGGCTTCTATCATTTACACACTATTTTGGCAAAGTTGGAAAATTGTTTAACTTCTCTGAATTGAGATATGCCAAAAAATAGTAATATCCATCTCACACAGTTGGTTTGAGAGCTACTTGAGATTTTGTGTCCAGAAACCTAAGCATGTAAAAAACATAAGTTCCTTTAATATGATACTTTAATAAGAAACTTTATTATTGGCAGGATGGGAGTCTACAATATCAAGCTTCAGTCCTATCAAGTATAACTGAGTTCAAACGGTGCTCCATCTGATAGAAGTGGGCAGGTTAGGGTATCAACACAGATAATTTCCTAGGAACTGAACATTTGTAACTAAAGTTTGTGATGCTTACAAACTGAGCAGAAAGTCTAAAAGAAAAATAATATACATTGTACTTAGACATGACCTACTTCTGTCTTAAAATCTGTTGACCTCATCTTTGATGACAGAGGAAGTTTTTGAATTCACAGACTTTTTCGCCTATTGCTAAACTGTCACCAAAAGAAATAAAAGTGTTAGCAGACTGATCAGTTGAAAATCAAAGCCAATTCGTATGGTGGTAAAAAGGGGTAGGTAATGTGGTTTTCTTAAATGAAATTATAAATAGGACTATAGTCCAAATACTGTAATATCTTTTCTGGATTTGTGGTATTAGGATATATGAGGCTTTCATATTCACAAGCTTGGGTATTTTGATGAACATAATGCTTTTGTAGTATAAGAATGCCTCTTGGAATAATTTTGGAATGCTGTTACACCTGAGCAAGGCATTTACTGACTGCCAAAGAATACAGTAAAAGTCCTGCGAACAAGAGTTTTCATGGATAGGAATAACACTCACATACTTTCCCAGAAACAAAACAGACGGTTTATTATTGTATATATTCTCCTGGTGTTAGATAATTCATGTGACTTGAAATATGCCATAACCTTTACCCCTATTATTGATAATCATCATTCTAAAAAATCATCTGAGGCTTTATGGTTAAATATACAGAATCTTTTCTCAGACAAGATTTTTCTGGATTAAACCTTTCCTTATTTTAGAAGTACCATAGGCATGAAGACTGAGATCATAAACTTCTGAATTAGTTGGAGTCAGGTTTTAGTTTACTTCTGAGTTGGTTAGAGTGAGTTTTAGTTTGTTTACTTATTACTTGTGTGAATTTGGATAAATTCCATAGTTCTTTGAGATGCAGAGTCCTTATCTCCAAAATAAGAATCACAATCCTTGTTTCAGGGCCTGTTGAGAAGATTCAACTTGATAATGCAATCTTTCAAAGAACTAAAATTACAACAATTTAGGTTAAAGATTTCTATTGGCTTTATTTTTGATTCTAGAATTAGGCAACACTTCATTCCATAGAATAGAACAAGTGTTTCAATGAGCATTGCAGAAGAGGTTGTTTTTATCAACAGAAAAGGCCTGAAAAAGCAGCACAAAGAACAAAGAACAGATTGGTCATATCAAATTATAAAAAAATAATAATAACTGATTGGCTCACATCAGGCTACCTCAGGTGACCTGATTAAGACTAAGGTAGAGGGAACTTCATTATCAGGCCAATTGAAACTGGATTATTGGAGAAAGTTGGCTGTTTACCTCTGTTGGTTTCTCAAAATATTAGAAAACAGCTTAGTTTCAGTTTGGAGATGAAACGTTAGCAAGGGTGACTCCACTTTGGTTTTCAGTTTGGCATGTTGGGTATCAGTTCAGAATCATAGTCCAAAACAGTGACCTACTAAGCCTTTTATATAAGAATATAAAGAATGTAACAAATGCTTGCCACTTGGTAAGAATTCAATAAATTTTAGGTGGAAGCAATTTTTTAAAAGCAACCATTTTTAATTTTTATTTTATTTCTTCTTTCTGTAACATTTACACTGATAAACTCTTGTGGGAAAGAATGGGTTTCCCAGAAAGCCCAGCTTCAGCACACATCTGGTATATGTGTCATTTATTCTGCAAAGTGATTCTAGGGAATGAGGAGAGAGAAGTTGGGAAGAATAAACTGGAAAGAGGGAACACTTACACACCTATAGGCAACTGGGGTTCATGGAACCTTCTGAGGATTGTGTGGAATGCTGAGGGAAGAATATAGTCAACCTACTACAGTCTTCCATTAACCAGATTACAGTTAAGGTATTAACACTCTTACACTGGGGCGTAATGTATCAGTGATAAATCTGTTGGTTTTAATAGGTAGCCAGAGAATTCACAGACCATAAAATGAAAGATAGGAAACACAGCTGAGGTGCGCACTTCGCAATTCTGGTTATTGCATGATGTGAAGGCAATTGTTGCATGTAAAGAAGGATGAATAATATTTCACACATTATTCTTTTAGAATCTATATGTATTCAATGAACCTAAAGACTTGAGTGGAAATCAGTTCTTGGTAGATAACTCTGTTTTAAAACCTGTTATTTGAATGGCAATGGATTACATGATTCTGTATGGTCAAGACTGATGTTTAAGTTGTATCCTTCTAGTAGATCTACACTGAGAGATGCTCACAGGTGATTTCTATGCTAGCTATAATTAAAACAGAGTCTTTGAATAAACTGAAATTTCTCTTTGGAAGAGCATCTCCTTGCCCTAGTTCTGCCGGGAAACTCAAAATAGATCAGTGTGGCCTCCTTGGTCCCTGGATTTTTAGTTGGAGACTCTTTTACTAGAAGCAAAGTGAAAAAAATACATGTTCAATATACTTTTAAAATGTTATTATTTCTGTGGAAGATTAAATACTGCATATGTTTTATTATATAATTTTTCCTTATCTTTAATTATAAAAAATAATTTTGAAAGTTTGTTATTGGAATCTTGGGAAAAATCTTAATATGCATAAATATGTGTGAAATAGTGGAATTATGATTTAGATCAAATATACACAATTCCAAAAAACACGTCTCCTTTAATAATTGGTAACTATGTGTTGGTGGGCATTCAAACTCAAAGAATCATGGAGATAAAATCTTTTACTCTCTTACTAAGTAGTATTTTTCATTTGATTTCTAAGAGTATTTAGCCTTTAAGGTGAAACTGGGTCCCAGACAAATGTGTTTCACATTAGAAACTGTATTAAATTAATGGAAAAATAGATAAACATTGATAATAATAATAAAACAAGAGAAATGATGAACATTAAGAGGTAAATACTTTTTAAATGTTACTCACATGGACATTCAGAAAACCACATCTTTCAGACAACATAATTATTTGCATCATATAAAATTCTAGTGGTTGAAATTTAAAATATTGATTAAAAAGCTTCAGTTGGACTTCAAATCAGCCTAAAAAGAAATTTCCATCTTAATAAAATAGGTGAAACTTTCCTTTTAAACATTACAACTTATTCTGTTAAAAAATGGGTTTAATATTATTGGAAGACCTAAAACTGGTCTTTCACAAGAGAGAGCCTATCCCATTTTAAATCGATCCCAACGGAGCAGTGAAGACACAATCCCAAACAGTAAGCATCCAGAAGTGTAAATACTCAATCAGTGATTCTTACGCTTCCACATACCAAGTATTTGCAGGTGATCCTTCAACAAAACAGGAAGGTGTTGAGCAATTTCTTGACATTTTAAAATTTCCTCCTGGTGTTCTGATGTGGTTATAATCTAGACTATGCAAGAGACTTTTTGAAAAACAGAAAAACAGTATACTGTCTAATTTTTGTGAACTTCAAAGTGTGATTACAGACTTTCAGATTCTTCTGGAAGATCCCTTACATGCTGTAAGAAGAGACTCTTACTTTAGTCAGCAAAGTTAATATTCTCATGAGTTAAATTGACTTCATATAGTCAAGTTTATTTTACACTCTCAGTTACTTACTACTGCAAATCAACAAGCACAGGAATTGATGCATTTTGTGCCTTCAAGTCAAATTAAATAGCAAACACTACTGTTGGTGAATGTTTGGCTAGTGAATAAAACATATTTCATTCCTAATTTTCACCAGAGGATTTAAATTAAAGAGTAACAGATGAATTGGGCAGGCACAGAGCACTAAATAGGAACTGGAAAATTAAGTAATCGAGGTCTTTGCTTTTACAATGAAAATAAGAAATTATTTTGCACTTAAGAGATAGAAGTAAAAGGACCAAGTGTTTTTAAAAAACCTTTCTCCACCAAAAGAGCAAAATAGCACTCAGTGGCATCACATTGTTAACAAAATTTCTTTATCAGAAACTATAATTTAATATTTAAGTATCTAATTTACATGTGACAAGGTATTATATTCAAAAAAATTAAATTGCAACTAGAAAACTATTAACCACTAAAAACAATAGGAAACACAACCCAAGCATTTATAGGAAAGCAATAGCTAGAATCTGAATTGGAAAAAAATGTCTTATCATATTTGGCTCATTAAACAAAGTATCCATTATTATCTGTAAAAGAGCATCTCTTCTAATTCATCAAAAGTTTGCTCTTTATACTATGGATAACATGTAAAGATAAATTCCTTGATTGTATATGCACACGTGCGTATATATATTGTGAGACATACACTCGTGTGTTGATTAAAAGATAATGTATCTACTGATAACTTGCTGAACTTTGGAAGGTGCTGAAATCCATATTTCTACATGTCCTTTGACTCATTTAATAATGCCTTTTTAAAAACAGAAATTACATAAAATACTCTGCTTTATTAACTGAATATTTTCTTAAGCATAATAATAGACAATGAAAGAATTGCACTTATTGTAAAGGTACAGTAAAGTGTTAGATTGCAGCTCAGCCATCAAGATCAGGGACTATAGTAATGATGAGAAGTTGTGCATCATATGCAAAAGTAATGGTGGCTATTGAAATTAAAATGAGAGCAACTAGTTACAGAACAAACGGGGGAAAACAGAATAAAACATGCACTACTGCTATTTTAATGTAAAACTAATTTCTCCCAGGAAACCAACCCTTAGACCTTCCTTATACAAAGAAACAGGTTCTGCACCCTTGGTAACACAGTAGACTTGGACTTCCATATTCAAATTCTAGTTCATTGTCTCTGAGTGTGCTGTTCCAGTGTCATCTCCTTAAGCTGCCATTGAAATTCTGGAGCATCTACATTATGACATTCCCTTGGTTAGGTTTCATTGAGCCTCAGTATCCCCTTCAGTTCTGTATAAATAGGGTCCATTATTCATCTTCTTCTGGTTCCTGTGGTAACACGGATAGTTCTTCCTTTAAACAATCACTGAAGAATCTGAGGATTGTGCTGTACAGGTGATACTTGCTTTTCTCAGATACGTTGTGACCTTCATCTGGGTAGACCTGAGATAATGTGTGGGAAGAAGATTTCGAGTTACCAAAGCTGCTACTGTCTCTCAGCATTCACTCTTAGCCCTGATGGCCTAGGAATGTTGGAAAATACTACCTATACAAAACCTCACCTAGTTCAAGTCTCAGTTCTTTCTGCTAAAATTTTCAAACATTATAATTATAACAATCTAGATTTGAAGGAAAACATATTTGGTAGTTAAATTGAGATTTGTTGGCCAAAACAAAGCAGACATTTCCATGCTCATGTTGACTAAGATGAACTTGAGAGTTTTCCTCTAGCTGGTTAGTTTTAGATAACTTTTCTTCCTGCTCATGGGATGCTGATTTCCCCTTCCTTGGAGTATTTAATTTATAAAACTTGCTATTGTGTATGGTCTTTCTACCTTTTTAAACTTATGTAAACCTTCTTCCAATCTCTTGTTCCGAACATGGAATGCTAATGGACATAGGAACCAGCTCACTGCCATGGAATCATGCAAGAAGGTAGCATTGCAGTTTCCTAGGCTCTGTGGAAAGAGAGAAGCCCTGGTCCCAGTTCTTTTTTTAAGAAACTTTTCTTTTTAAAAGTTTTTTTTTTTTTTAATTATTTATTTGAAAGTCAGAGTTACACAGAGAGAGGAGAGGCAGAGAGAGAGAGAAAGGTCTTCCACTCAATGGTTCACTCCCCAATTGGCCATAACAACCAGAACTGTGCCGATCCGGAGGAGCCAAGAGCTTCTTCCGGGTCTCTCACATGGGTGCAGGGGCCTAAGGACTTGGGCCATCTTCTACTGCTTTCCCAGGCCATAGCAGAGAGCTGGGTTGGAAGTGGAGCAGCTGGGACTTGAAGCGGTGCCCATTAGGATGCCTTCGCCTCAAGCCAGGGCGTCAACCCGCTGTTGATCCAAGTTCTAATACTACTTCTTGTCTTGAGGATACAACAAAGCTTACATTCCCATTGGGTGTGGCCAATTAGTAAATAGAGCTGTCTGATAATTCCTCCTGCTTCAGTACTTAAAAAAATCTTTCATCTCTTTGTTTCAACAAAGTTGAGTTCAGCCTCTCCCGTTTTGCGATAGTCTGGATAAAGTGTTCCTAGCCCTTTAACATTTTTGGGTCCACTATTTTACATTTACAATACCCTTTCCAGAAAAGGGATTCTTCTGAAATACACATAAAAATATAAGCAAAAATACAAATGTTAACCAAGCAAGTTCTGTGTCTTTTAATTATGTCTCATTGTTCTCCAAGGAATGTCCCATTTTCTGTAACATTGCTTGGGTGGGACGCATCATCTGTTTCTCTCTTCATTTGCATCTTCCATCATCCTAACCCCAGTATTTTGTGTTTTACAAAAGTCAAACTATTATTTGTTCCTCTGAATGCTGATAAATTAAAATTATTATTTTTCTATGGCTCCACCACCAAACTGACATTTTTGTGACAGCATAAAACATGTCTTATTGCCCATCTAGCAACAATGTCTTATTGCCCATCCACCATAAAGTAAGTTGTTGATACATAATTATTAACTATGTGAATATGCATATGTAAATAGTAATGTCAAAGATAGTATAGCCTCTCTCTTTTTTCTTGTAAAATTTTCCCTTATCACTTCCTTTTTCACATTAGTTATGAAAAGAGTGGTGTAATGTGGAGGAAGATGAGACAAGAATGAAAATAGGAAATTCAATGTTAATGATAAAATTCAAGTCTGAGGAGGAAAGGACATATTTGAAAGGGTACATGCACTTCACTTGTAAAGCACCGGTGTAATTAGGAACAAATAACACATTGTAGGGAATATAGTAAAGAAAAATATAAATGATGGATTAGTAGAGTTATGTTGTATATCTCACAAGTGAAAAACAAAAGTGGGAAAATACATTCACCTGGAAAGTGGCTCACCTGCATAGTATAATTCACTCCAGCTTTTATTAGGTGCTTGATTAATTCTGCTGAATGCTGGAAGTGAACTTTTGCTGAAAAAAAAATTAACATATTTGAAACAAAATACTATCAGCACTTTTCAGAATTATTTTTTCAAACATATCAAGTATTTTATTTTATAGCCATTATACATTTAAAAGATAAACAACTGACTTTAATCAGAAAGCTGTTAGATAAAACAGTAAAACTTTGATCTTCCCATAAAAACTAAATAAACCCACAAGGGAGCCATGAGTAAGCCTTACTAACTGTACAGGGTGGTATTTACGCTTACTTCATTGGATATCATTTACTATTTCTAATTGTTCACATATTTCACCTTATAAAAAACTGACATTGTAAATGTCTTATCTGGTATTAATACAGCAAAACAGCTATATTTGTTTTTAGAATTAGATACCCTAAAAGTGTATCCCAGTTAGATACTGGCATTCTGCTTTGCTATTTTAAATTAGAAAAGAATATCATATGTTGAGAAACTAGACTATACATCTCATTATTCAATGCAGAATAATCAGTTATTCCTGTTTGCATCTATCTTTCTTTTGTGAAACCTAAGGTCTAAAACTCTGAAACACATAGCTCAGCAGCCATATGTTTGGTGGCAGTGTTGGCCTAACTGGCTTTGAAGACTTGGACAAGTCAGTCAACACTGCATGTGCAGCAACCAGCTTATGTGATGCCTGGGAAACTCATTCCTGCAGTCTGAATATCTTAGAATTTCTGTGAATAATTTTTAAGCTAACAAAGCTAAATTTTAACTGTCTTTCCAAAACTAGGACATTCTGATCAATATTTTAAGCTTTTTCAATGCTCTAATTCTATGATGCTGAGTAATCATTTTATAAAGTGGAGGATAAATGATTTATTTTAAACTTCTAAAAATGAAAGAGTGGATGGAGGACCTTTGTCTCTCCCTCTCTGTGTCTGTAATTCTACCTCTCAAATAAATAAATGAAGTCTTTTTAAAAAGGAGAGAACTTCTACAAATAGCCACAAGATCTTTGTCAAAATCTTGCTATTATACTTCATGGGAAAATCACCATGTGAATTCTAAATAAATACAAATTGCTGTGTAGCTGTAAACTAGCAGACATGTTAAAAAACAGGGGAGAGGAAGAAGGTAAAATGAAGCTTACACAGATCATACGCTTATTGTAAGAAAGACCATTGGAAAAGCTTCCATCATTTCTCTGTATGGATACAGATCAAAGGTAAATGTACAAATACATTTTCCAGTCACATTTTTTCCTGTTAGTTTCTAGTCTAAAACCAGTTGAAATTTTCCGTTTGTCCTCCTCCTGTAACTAAACATGGACATTCAAGTTCTGATTAGCTGAGAGAACTCATTTGCTCATAATTTTTGAAGAAAATGTTGACAGTAGTAGTATTTTCCAGGAGTATCTGTAAACCTAAAACCTACCAGGCTCCTGGGGTTGTGTGGTTTGTGAGTGTCTGTGTGAGCATGGCTGTACTATCATGTGGGTCTCCATGCATGTGCAGGTGTTTCCTCGGCAGTGATGGGTTGAACTTCAGATGGCATTGTCGCTCCCCCTCTTCATGGAGGAATGACACTAAACCCTGCCTAGGTTTCCTATCCGAGTCACGGCACCATTATGTCGCTCCCCCTCTTCGTGGAGGAACGACACAGGACCCTGTGCTGTTCTTTTGTCTGCTCGGCCCTTCCCGGGTTTGCTGCTGGTTCTTCCCGGGTTGGCTACCGTCCCTTCCACCTCCGTGGAAGGGCGGTTCCCCCTGCCACTTTCCCCACTTCCGCGGGGGAGCGGCACACCGCCGGCCGGCTCTCTCCGGGGCTGCTCAGGTGTTCCTTCAGATAGATGTTCCTGGTGCATGTTGTCTCTCTCCTCCTTTATAGTCCTCTTCCACCAATCCCAACTCTGCTACCCACACGCCAAGTATGCTGCTCTCCTCCAATCAGGAGCAGGATCAGCTCCTGCAGGTCATCACTCAAGTTGGCGAGAGGCAGCTGAGTAGAAGCTGTTTCCTCCTCTCCCAGCGCCACATTGTGGGAGAGCAGATGCATAGAATAAGTCTTAATTCCAGTAACAGTCTAGTCTGAGTTGCTCCCCACAGGCATTTTATCTGCTTGCTGAATCATGAGACCCGTGACAGAGTGAGTCAGACAGGAACAGCATGATTTATTTTAATAGCTACAACGTGAGAAATTTAAAATGATACTAATATGTTCCAGAGTGAGGTTGAATGGGAAATAACTTAAGGTGTTCAATTGAGAATTCAGATCACTGTTGATAAGAAACTCAACACCTGAATTCCAATCTCCTTTCTTCTAATCAATTGATTGTGCTTTTTAGCAAATTACATAACTTCCTAATATTTATTTCACCATCTATTAAATAAAAAGAGTGAAAATGCCTACTGTACAACATTTTTTGCCAAGAACAAGTTAATATTAAAAGCTGTAGCATATTTTTTGTCATACAGTTAGCACTTAGTAATAACTAGTCATTATTATTACTGTTGACCTATATGTAAGGCCTTAACACTTTAACGTAAAATTGTAATATCCCTCAAAATTTTATTCTCTCTTTCATTACATTTCACCAATCACTTGTTTCAGGTCATTTAATATTCTTTTATTATTATTTTGAGATAAATATATTTTAATTTACATTATAGTCCAAGGTTTAAATGCTCTACCAGATAAAGACTTTAACAAATTAAAAGTAAAGAGGCCATAGTTCAGCAGGAATATAGGCAATGACTTTAAATATTAATCAAATAAAACATGTCAATTTCATGTATTTATAGTACTTTTTTTTTTTTTTTTTTTGGACAGGCAGAGTGGACAGTGAGAGAGAGAGACAGAGAGAAAGGTCTTCGTTTGCTGTTGGTTCACCCTCCAATGGCTGCCGCTGCTGGCGTGCTGCAGCCGTTGCATCTCACTGATCCGAAGCCAGGAGCCAGGCGCTTCTCCTGGTCTCCCATGGGGTGCAGGGCCCAAGCACTTGGGCCATCCTCCACTGCACTCCCGGGCCACAGCAGAGAGCTGGACTGGAAGAGGGGCAACCGGGACAGAATCCGGCGCCCAGACCAGGACTAGAACCCGGTGTGCCGGCGCTGCAAGGCGGAGGATTAGCCTATTGAACCATGGCACCAGCTATAGTACATTTTAAAATACTCAAAGATCATTAAAGATAGTAGTATAGCATTCCTTTTTTAAGATTTCATCTATTTATTTATTTAAGAGGCAGAGTTACAGATGGAGAGAGGGAGAGACAGCGAGGAAGGTCTTCGATCTGCTGGTTCACTCCCTGAAATGCTGTAATGGTTAGAGCTGGGCTGATCTGAAGCCAGGAGCCAGAAGCAGCTTCTGGGTGTACGACATGGGTGCAGGGCCCAAGTACTTGTGTCATTTTACCATTTTCTACTGCTTTCCCAAGCTATAGTAGAGAGCTGGGTCCGAAGAGGGGCAACCAGGACTAGAACTGGTGCCCACGTGAGATGCGAGCATTAAAGGTGGAGGCTTGGCCCAGTATGCCACAGCACTTGCCCCAGTAGTAGGACATTCGTAATAATTTGTTCAAAAAGATTTAAAACATAGTTTGGCAAAACACTCTATTTAAAGCAAAACTGATATATAAAAGCATTTCCTTCTCTTTGTTTTTATTTTTTCTTTTTTAAAAATTAAATATAAATAATATACACACAAGTGTACTTAAAATGTTGTGTAAATGGAATTAAAAGATGCTGATTTTGCTGCAATATTTTGAAATCAAATATTTTTATAATATTCATTTTTAATAGATTGTGTGATCTCATGAATTAACCAGTATTGATGTAAGCTCTGATTTTACCACAGCTTGAGGTACTTGAAATTTAAGTTGAAGAGATGGTATGCTTATTACTAGAAGACTTTGTATTGTCTTTCTCTGTAAAATGAGGCAACAGCTGGCACCGCAGCTCAGTAGGCTAATCCTCCGCCTTGCAGCGCCGGCACACCGGGTTCTAGTCCCGGTTGGGGTGCCGGTTCTGTCCAGGTTGCCCCTCTTCCAGGCCAGCTCTCTGCTGTGGCCAGGGAGTGCAGTGGAGGGTGGCCCAAGTGCTTGGGCCCTGCACCCCATGGGAGACCAGGAGAAGCACCTGGCTCCGGCCTTTGGATAGGCGCGGTGCGCCGGCCGCAGCGGCCATTGGAGGGTGAACCAACAGCAAAAGGAAGACCTTTCTCTCTGTCTCTCTCTCTCACTGTCCCCTCTGCCTCTCAAAAAAAATAAAATAAAAAATAAAAAAAAAATTTAAAAAAATGGGACAACAAACTGAAAGACAACAAGGTAGACAGCAACAACAAAGAAGTTTAACGTTTAGGAAACAGTGATTTAAGACTATTTTTGCTCACTTGCAAGTATACTTGGATATATTTTGTTTCTTAAAACTGATTTTTCTTGCCCATGAATGTGACTTCAAATACTCATCCTCTGTGCTATAAGGTTTCATTGGGAATTAAAAATATGTAAGTTCCTTGAGTCCTAAAAATTTCACATGAGCCTTAAATGATATTATTGAACACCACTAATATCAGTCAAATCTATCTCCCAAGTTTGAAGTGGTGAGAAAATAAGAGATTATATGAAATGGCCTTTTGCAAGTGTTGCCTAAACAGTGTTTATACGTGTTTTCACTTAATTGGAGTGTAGAATCTAACCAGAATTCCATCGCTGTGGTTGCACCTGTTTTTAGGCATCTGCATTCTGGGTTGGTTTTCTTTCGAGGTGTGCTGAATGACACTGTCGCACAGTTCCTAGTCACATGTGGCCATTTAAATTCAAAATTAATTGAAATTAAATAAAACAAAATGTTTAGTCTCTCTGTTATACTATACCTGGCTACAGGTGGTCAGTACTGTGTTCAATAGCACACAGAGAATATTCACACACCCACTGGAGGTTTTACCAGGCAATGCATACATCTGAGAATTATCCCCTCTCTGTTTAGCCCTGAATTCCTTCTTCCCACTTCCTGCCATGCCTCTGATTTCGTGTGTCACTCTACTCTCTTCCTCACAGGATTTACCAGGATACCGGTAAGCAAGTCCTCAGATGTATCCCTTTGAAATTGGTTCAAACGTATAAAAGAATAGCAGAAAGCGTAACACTCACTGTCAGCAGTTCCATGTATTATTAATATATTTTCCTCTTTCAAACCATGAATATTGTGTAGCACACTGGTTGCCTATAAAAGAAAACACAAATATCTGTATGTACACATCTATCAAAGTAATCTGAACAATATTTTTGGAATTATTTGTTATTTTTAAATTAGCTACCTGGTACATGCTTTCTTCCTTAGATGGCAAACCAAGGTATCTTTCAGAGAAAGCTGAAGCTGTGCCCCAGGAAACAGAAATTTAAGAATTAAGTAAAAACCTTGGCTAGCATATTTCATTATTTAATGTCAACATTTTGCTTTCAATTGACATTCTGTAGTAAAATCAACTGAATCAAGGAAGTGCTAAGCATCTCAAAAATAGGCAATAAAAACACAAGATTGATGAGCTCCGTTGAGCTTTTCTGCATTAGCATTTTGTTTCTTACCACTCAATATATTATTCATGTTGTCTAAGAAATACTCACCATACAACTTCAAATCTGTGATGGGTGCAACCACTGATCCACATTTAAAAAGCTTTTCATCGGATTTTAAGATCATTGATGCAATATAGCCACCATACCCCTGGCCAAAAAGAAAAAAGGATACAACATTCCTGGAGACACTATTAGCTTTTGATCACTATTTGATGATGTACATGCCAAATATCTCATTACATTACAGTTTGAAAAGAATGTACTGAAATCATATTGTGCTTGCAAAGAATATTAATGGTTGTTTATATTTTTAACACAGTATTGTTTTAATAACAGTAAGTAAAACACAGAGTGAATTACATATTTACAAATGTCAAATATTTGCCCCATGATTTCATACTGTACATTTGGAAACTGCTTCAATTTCATTTGTGATTCAAATAATTTGAAGCTTCGGAAATAAATTATTTATTAAAACATGTCATCTTAAGAAAATTTCATAGACACATGCTTTAAATAAAACACTTAAATGATGATGGTGCTATAGAATTTGGAAAAGAGAATAAAATATTTAAAATATGTCATCACAAATACAGATTCTACTTTAAATTCCTGATGGCCGTAGGATTTTGAGCTGGATATTTTGAGAAAGTGCAGGCACAGAAAGTTCTTAAGACAAGGCTGTGAGAGAAAATTAGCTCCCTAAAGGAACTTTCCATCTGTAAGGATGTCTCTCTCTGCAAATGGAAGAGAAGGATCTATAAGTCACCATCACTCTTCAGTGGAGAAGATCTGGGCATACTTCTGCAGGATAAATCTCAACCTTGCCTGTTAGGTTTTTCTGAAAACTTCCCAATAAGTATACTTCCCCATACTCTTCTTCTATGTTTCAGAGATGATATGTAAACCTCTATTCTAAACAAGGCTGTGATATACTTTATTTATTTATTTATTTTTTCTTGACAGGCAGAGTTAGACAGTGAGAGAGAGGGACAGAGAGAAAGGTCTTCCTTCCATTGGTTCACCCCCGAAATGGTCGCTATGGCCAGTGCACTGCGCCGATCCGAAGCCAGGAGCCAGATGCTTCCTCCTGGTCTCCCATGTGGGTGCAGAGCCCAAGCACTTGAACCATCCTCCACTGCCTTCCTGGGCCACAGCAGAGAGCTGGACTGGAAGAGGAGCAACCAGGACAGAACCGGCGCTCCAACAGAGACTAGAACCCGGAGTGCCAGCGACACAGGCGGAGGATTAGCTTAGTGAGCCTCAGTGCCGGCCAGATATACTTTAGACAAGTAGTCATTTTTCTGTATAATCATTCATGGACGGAGGAGCTATACATGTTACTAAAATTATGTACATTTTTTCTTTTATTATTGTATCTTCTGTTACAGAGAATCCCAGCAAAGAACTCCTAAAGATTGGATAAGACAGTTATGTGTCCTCCTCTACATTTCACAGCTAAATTTTGGGAGGACAGGGAATTAAATGGATAATGTTGCTTGTTAGATGTGTTGGGTTACAGATGAAATTAAGTTTTGAAATACTGAAATGTGTGGAATAATTTAGCAATAAATTCTCAAAATACATGTTAAGTTTTATTTCATAGTACATAATATGATCAGTAATGTTCCAGAGGAGAATGTAACAACTATATAAACGCTAAGTGAATGATGTGAAATGTTATCAATTTTAGAAATTAATTTTAGCTAGGTTCCAGACAATGTTCTTTATGTTCCTGGACATTAAAAGTGGATACTGGGAAGTGTTAAAAATACTGACATTCAGGCAGCGCCATGGCTCAATTGGCTAATCTTCCGCCTGTGGCGCTGGCACCCCAGGTTCTAGACCTGGTTGAGGCGCCGGATTCTGTCCCAGTTGCTCCTCTTCCAGTCCAGCTCTCTGCTGTGGCCTGGGAAGGCAGTGGAGGATGGCCCAAGTGCTTGGGCCCTGCATCCACATGGGAAACCAGAGGAAGCACCTGGCTCCTGGCTTTGGATCCACACAGCTCGCTGGCAGTGGTGGCCATTTTGGGGGGGTGAACCAAAGGAAGGAAGACCTTTCTCTCTGTCTCTCACTGTCTATAACTCTCTCTCTGTTTCTCTTTCTCACTGTCTAACTCTGCCTGTCAAAAAAAAAAAAAAATACTGGCATTCAGTTCTTAATTCCAGAAATTCTGATGTGTGAGGTTTACTTTTGAAAGAATTTTAGATGACTCAAGTGTGGTACAGTTTTAAATCTGACATTTTCACTTAACTCCTGAAGTGATATATACAGAATTTCCTTATGTTTACTTACAGCATGCTATGCTTATGTTAACGGTATAAACAGTGTGGCAAATTAATCTGACCATGGTGTTTCCAGGCAGGACCTTTGGAAAGTGATTTGGATTAGATTAGGTCATTATGGTGGCACCCTGGTGACTTTATAAGAAAAAGGACAGGGAACAGATACATACACAGACAAGCATACAACCAAAATGTGTATCCTGTCAGAGCCTGAGCCATTAGTTTGGATTTCTAAGCTCCAAAACTGTGAGCTAAATAAGTTTCCTTTCTATATAAAGTAGCCTGCTAGAATACTTTGTTATAGTAATGAAAAATTGATGACAAGGAGTATTATTTAAAAATCCATACTTGAATCACCCAATGCAGTCAGAAATTCTTGGAGTGCTTGAGATAATATATGTCATTCTGGTACTGGAATATTTCGCCAGTACTTAGGAGCTTGAGTGAAGCCTCTCCTACAGTTAGGAACTGAAGGAAAGAAAATACCTTTATAGATTTGAGCAAACACAAAGTGCCTTTGCTCAGTTTTCTTGAGAGAGACAAAGAGCTTAGGCCAGGAAATAAATGAGGCAGCATGGTACATTTCAGGCTTTTATTTAGTGTGAAAGGTGCATAGGAGAGTGAGAGCTTTATTCAAGAGAGACAGGTAAATCTGGGTTCATACCGAGCACCAGGAACCAGCCACCTGGAGGAGCATCTAGGCCAGGAAGTTACAGCCCGCCCCCTCCTGGCAAGAGGCCAGGGCAAAGAAGAGAGAAAGGGACATACCTTGTCCCAGGCTTTTAACCCACTTCCAAAGGGGAGTGGTTAATTAACCTGATTGGCTGGTGGGCACCCAGGTGTGGCCAGGTAGGGGCATGAGGTCACACAGGGTGTAGTGAGGTATCAGGTAGGGTGTGAGGTCACACAGGGGCGTGGCAAATACTTGGTCTTCCAGCTCACAAACCTAATTGATTTTAACCTGTATGCCTACCTATTTCACTCTGGGTCTCCCACATGGGTGCAGAGGCCCATGCACTTGGACCATCTTTCCCTGCTCTCCCAGGCACATTAGCAGGGAGCTGGAATGGATGTGGAGTAGCTGGAACTTGAACCAGCACCCATATAGGATGCTGGCACTGCAGGCAGCAGCTTAACCCAGTACGTCACATCAGCCCTGACAAACATACACTTTTAAAATAAAAAAATATAATAACTTTATGAGATGATGGCTGTGCTAATTTGTTACATTCCAGTGTCCATATGTATCATATAACACAGTAAAATTTAAAAGAAAAATGCTTGAGAATGTTAACATTAAGATTCTGACTTAGTAGATCTGGAGTGTAAAATTTTGCATTTTTTTAACTTTTATTTAATGAATATAAATTTCCAAAGTACAGAATATGGATTACAATGGCTTCCCCCACATAATGTCCCTCCAACCCGCAACGCTCCCCTTATCCACTCCCTCTCCCCTTCCATTCACATCAAGATTCATTTTTGATTCTCTTTATATACAGAAGATCAGTTTAGCATACATTAAGTAAATTTTGCATTTTTAACAAACTCGTGGGAGATGCTTGTTCTTTCTGGCCCACATTTTGAATAACAAATTCTTCAGCATAATCTTAAAGGTAACTACTAGAAATATCTTCTTTCTCCTGCTAGCATTCCCTACACTAGCAGAGCTTCACAAATAAATGTCAAGCTCCCCCCACCCACTAAGAAATTTAATCAGAATCTCTGGAGAGTGGGCACCATATCCACCTCGCCACGTGCTTATACTGATGCTGCACAAGGGTTGTATTTTACTGCTTTTTCTTTCATCATGAACATTTGAGATTTAATGAATCTAAATATTTGCTAAAACTTAATGATAGTGAAAACTGTTGAATAAAATTCTTTCTGTATTACTTAGCAAATTCAAATGCTGCTTTAATTTCATTAATTTCAAAGAAATCTACTTTTAAAAGAAAATCAACACTAGAGTGAATTAGAATAAATGAAATTTCTATTGCATACTTTCTTCTTAACCATTTTATATTTACTCACTGAATGCAAAAAAATTACAAAAGAATTTTTGGAAAATATGTTCTTGAAGAGAGCAAGGATGTGATGTAAGCCTTAGCTGCAAAAAAGATGGTGATTTTAATATTCAAAATAACTTATCAGTTAGAGTCAAAAACCAGGGATCCGCATATTGACACTATAGTCAATTGGGGCTATTTTTCATGTGATCAAAAACATCCAATAGCAGAGACTTGGAATAATCCAGAATGGTTACTCTGATCTTTGTTGATAAGGAATATGAAGAACCTGGCACCCACGTGGCTCCTAAGGATGGGTGGAAGCTGGGGTCTTGGCCTTCCAATCCTTAGATGGGAGATCGCGGGTTTCAGTGTCACTTGACAGCAAAATGTTTCATGTACCACCAGCCTTACCTAACCTTGCTGGAACGGATTTGGAAAGTGTCAACAGAGCTACAGAAAGTCAGTGAAGATGAATGGAACCCTCAAACAAAGATCATCGAGTGTTGCTAAAAGATGACTGAGAAGAATGTTAAAGCAAAACATTCTGTCCCCGCCGCAGATGACACTAATCCAGGAATGCAGAAATTCTTCCCCTTCCACCCTCTAGATTTTGAGAGTTTTGACTGCCTGAAGGGCACCAGGTCACACACCTCCCCTTGAATAGAGCGCCACTCATGGTCCTAGATAAGGAGAGAGAACTTGAGAAGCTGTTACAGCTGGGTCCCTCCCCTGGAAGATGGCTTCTCCACCATGGGAATCTGATCTGTCCCCATCTCCTTCAAGCATTCTTCTGGCTCTGGATGTTGAACTGCTACCTGTGTGTTGCGACATGGATATTTAAATTTCTTACTGCTTTTTAGTTTGTGTGTGTTTGTGTTCATAAAGCCTTTCTCTAATGTACGTTAAAAATAATCTATAATCACTGTAGACTGTTCCGTTTCAATTGTGCAGACATTATCAGTTTCACAGTGATTTGGTTTTTCTGTTCATTCAATTGCTTAGTTATTTCAATTATCAGCAATGATCACTTGATTTATAAAATGTTAACAATTTTTTTTTTAAATTTCATTTAGTGGACCTGATATCAGAGATGACCCCCTAAAATATATATGAAAATTTGGCCCTTTAAAGTTCCTCAGAAGCCCCATTTGGGATGCCACATATGTTACCGGAATTTGGCATGCCATACAATATCACCATATGCTTATTAATAAAATCACCAATATTAATAACCCTGAGAGGGTTCTTGCCTAATATTTAGAAAAGAATTCTAAATACCGGCATCAATAAACGAGGCATCATGGTACATTTCAGGCTTTTATTTAGTGTGAAAGGTGCATAGGAGAGTGAGAGCTTTATTCAAGAGAGAGAACAATCTGGGTTCACACCGAGCACTAAGAACCAGCCACGTGGAGGAGCATCTAGGCCAGGAAGCCTGGGGCATAGGGCTACAGCCCACCCCCTCCTGGAAAGAGGCCAAGACCATGAAGAGAGAGAGGGACACACCTTGTCCCAGTTTTTTAACCCACTTCCAAGGGGGAGTGGTTAATTAACCTGATTGGCTGGTGGGCACCCAGGTGTGGCCAGGTAGGGGCATGAGATCACACAGGTGTGTGACGAAGGCTTGGTCTTGCAGCTCACAAACCTAATTGATTTTAACCTATATGCCTGCCTACCTCAGACCAAAAAATAGCTATGCTTATTATATAGATGATAATTTTCCAAAATTGATGGAAGCAATCAAGAGACATATTCAAAGACAATAATGCAACCCTAACATGATTAATAGAAAGATATCCATAGCTATCCACTTCTTGGAGAAACTGTAGACACAAAATAACGTAAGATTAGAATTTCTGAAAAATATGAGACTCAAAATTGCTAAGATATCAGTTCTCCCAATTAATTTATGGATTCACACAGTTAATATAAAATCTCTATGTTGTATTTTCCTAAAAATTACAAAGGGTGATTCTAAAATGTATAAAGTTCATACATCAAAATGAGACATAATAACATTAAAAAGGAAGAACAATATGAAATGACTTTATTCAATTTCAAGATAATATGATTGGATTTGATGGTGTGTCAATGATATCTCAAAGAATGAAATAATGGAGGATTCATGTAGGTTTGTGCTTAGAATGTGTGTCCTCTGACAGTAAATGTGACATGTCAGTGTCTGTTGCATAACTGGCATAAGCAATAAATTACTTGATGTTACAAAATGGATATCTGAATGGCAATAATCACATGGAAAGATGTCAGGTATTCAAATCAGAGAATTGGAATGAAAATAAAGATGAGTACTTCTTTTTACCTCAGAATGGTTTACATTAAAAAGGCTGACAATGCTAAAGCTAATGAGGACTTAAAGCATCTAAAATATTTACATATTCCTGTTTTTGAAAAAAAGTGCTTATAGGTTTTAGAAGGAACTTGGCATATCTTTGGAAAAATAAGGATGAACTTAAACAGTATTGCTATTCCTAGGTATTTACCAAAGGAAAATAAAAACATGCATCTACACACAAATCTGCACACAAATGTTTATGCCAACTTTATGCAAAACCCAGAACAATAAATACGTTAATAAGTAGGTGAGTGAATAGACAACTTATTTTCTAGTCATAAAAGGAGGTATAATTTTGCTAATATATTTAACAATATAAATGAGCAGGACAAAATTATATTTAGAGAAAGAAATAAAAGCAAAAGAAATAAACCTAAGTACAAACGAATGGAGGGAGGAAAGAAACTCAGAAAGATAGAGACATGTACATAAAGTCAAAAAATAAATTTTATATGTATAAATAGTGGATGGGCATTTGACCAATGATTAACATGCCCTCATCTCAGAAGTGCCAGAATTCCATACCCTGTTTGGCTCCTGATTCCAGCTTCCTGCTAAATCACCTTGTGGGACAGCAGTGACTGTTCAAGGAATTGGGTCCCTGCCATCCATGTGGGCTCATGTCTCCTAGTACAATGCCTTTAAGGATCATTAGTACTGAGGCATGTGACAGAATTTCACAAGATGTACTTCTAAGGATATAGAGTTCCCATTGTTATGAAGTGATCACTTTCTCAGACAATTTCATTTTTAAAGTAACATGCTGAACATTAGTGATAAATTTTTACTGCTCTATTTGTTAATATTTATACTAGGGGATCATTAAAATATTTTTAATGACCCACTGAGTATCACTGGCAATAAGAGGAGGATGCAGTAGAGACATGCAGGTGTGTGAAGTAGGGAAAGAACTGTGGTGACCTGTGCTGATTCATATTTTATACCTTTCTTAAATTGTCTTTTATTTGTTCATGTCTGTCACTGTGCACTATTAAAATGCATGCCTTGGTAAAATGACCAGTTATTGCATGTCAGGGATCTTCACGTCCACACATGATTAGCAGAAAATACAATATGTTTGTGTCCATGAACACCAAGATTCTGCACCATCTCTACACCTAAATAGTTCAAGGTCTCTTACATTTGATTTATTGTCCTTAAAGCATATTACTCTCTAATGTGTTTAAAATATGTGCTTAATAAGTATCCATATAAGGTCTATGTTCCTATTGTGAGAATGATGTTGAATATCAAATAACAGTTATTCAATGAGATGTAACTATTTTGAGGAGAATACAGAAATCATTATTATGCATACTTCAGTTTCCAGTCTGTGTCAGTCCTCCTTAAGGCTGTAGTAGTTGTTCCTTCTGTAGAGAATATGTGTGAAGAGACTGGTTGACTAGCTTCCTTTTGCTATTTAAATATTGACTTAAAAATCAACTCATCAGAGATGCATAGACCTAGCCATCAAATCAAAAAACATTAGCCCTTCTTGCAATTACCTTTTATCCATCAATTTTTAATTTCTTCACATGAACTATTGCTATGTGAAATGATGGCTTTCATTTCTTTGTTTACTCTTTAGAAGGTGAGCTTCATGAAAATAGGTTCCGTTCCCAAAGGGCCCATGTTGTGTGGTGTAGTGTATTAAGTTGCTGCCTGTGATACTGGCATGACATATGAGCATCAGTTTGAATCCTGAATGCTCCTCTTGATCCAGCTCCCTGATAATGCACCTGGGGAAGCCGAAGATAACCCAAGTACTTGGTCCCCTGACACCCGGGTGGGAGACCTAGATGCAGTTCCAGGCTCCTGGCTCTAGTCTGGCCCAGAACTGTCTGTTGCCACCATTTGTTGAGTGAGCCAGTAGATGGAAAATCACTTTCTCTGTGTCTCCTTATCTTTGTTACTCTGCCTTTCAAATAAATAAAAAAATCTTCAAAAAAATTTCCCCATCTGAACCTGAATTAAAACTTACTCATGAAGGTGGTCCTAATTGACTAACTACTTCCTCTCTTAGAGAGAGGAAGAAAGAAAAAAAATCGGCTCCCCTTTCCTGTTGCTGTCATACCTTGACATCAAGCACCAATTAGATGCTCAGCAAACAGTATTTAATTGGCAAATTACCGATTATATAACAGTAATTAAACTGTCATAATTTAACAATTATACAGAGAAGTTATGGTATATTGAAGAATGTAATTATATATATGTATTATAGAAAAATATATAACATGTATATGTAGATAAGTAAATAAATTCAACATTTCTAGTACTTACCTTTCCAAAAATGCTTAATCTTTTGGAATCAATATATGGCTGTTTCAGCAGAAATCTGCAATGAGAAAGAAAAAAAATCCAGTTCTATATTCTTGAATCAAATGCACATGGGAATTTGTACTTGGCATACACATTAAGAACTCAAGTATTAGAAATTCTCTATTGATTATGATTCTGTTCATGTAAAAAGGACATATGTTCCACATTCTCGCTACTCAAAATGATTGTCCAGTAGTTTAATATCTCCTGGGAGCATGTTGTGAAGGCAAAATCTTGGGCCCCATTCCAGGCTTAATAAACCAATATACACATTTTTAATAACATCCTAGCTTTTTTCTATGTACTCATGCAAAAGTCCTTCTTACTTTCTTATGTACTGCTTAATACTAGTGAGGTAACTGAGGGAAAGAATGGAAATTTTTAATTATTGCAAACAAATAATATGATGATATAACATTTATCCCATTTTCATATATCCAAAGTGAATTTTATTCCAGAGAAAACCTGATAATTTTCTTATTATAGCACTAAATATGATGGGTACTTGAAAACAGTGGGAGGCCATGTAATTAAATTAGAAAATTGCTCAATTGCCCAGACAGCAGCTTCTGAGTCAGAGTAAGTAGTAGAATAAGTCAGACACATAGGTTTTGATATCACAGAAAAAACAGTAAAATGAGTTTACCACTTACTTCACAGCAGCTATTTGGTCCTTTACTTCCACTGAACCTAACTTCCGATGAATCTCCTGCAGAATTTTCAGGCCCTGAAATCCACTTCCTCTGCCATCAAATCTTGCTACAATAACATTATCTGTGTCGACAAGTACAGAATCCCAGTCTATGTGGAACTTGTCTGTAACCAGCTGGCCTCCAGGCTCTTCATCCCTGCAATTATATAGACATTGGACCAAAACAAGTAAAACTGACAATTTGGTAAAAATGGTGGCTAACCAAAGTTATGGAAATGACTTATGTCAACCATTAAAATTTTTGTAAATTCTTGACAATAAATTAGAAAGTAAAAAAAAAAAAAGCCATTTTCTTTAGTAAAATTTAAATGGGATGTTCCCTGAATGAAATGAAAGTATGCCCTAAAACTGCATTGTAGAGATTTGTTTAATTCATTTAAAAGCAGAAACATAAAGATAAATGCATTGCACTTTCCATAGTCATTTCTAAATACTGATTGTCAAGTTGACAGACAGGTCTATCTTCACTGGACTTCTTCTAGACATAGTGTTTTAGAATTATCTTGCAGATGGTTTACAAGGGTTGAAGGGTCTTACAGACAGCAGAATCCATTACAGAAACTTCATAATAATTTAAGAGGAAATGTACAACCCTAAAGAATGTTGGCTTCAAAAAAATACTGCATTAATATTTCTTGAACTCCTTTTTCCTTTTCATTGTGGAAATGTCACTCAGAAGAACTTAAGCAAACAGAAAAATTCTCATCACTAAAAATGACACAAAAGGACACGAAAGACATATGCTTGAAAAATATGAAAGCTAGATGTAAAAAGAGACACATAATTTATAAAGCATATACATTCTCTTCACAGGAAAAAGGTGGTACAAATTTAAAAATGTCAGATTTAAATGGTACTTATTATTTCATTTTCCAAAATACAGAAAATCTGGATGAAAATTTTAAAAATTACATAAATCATCACATTCCAAACCTAGGTAAGGTTCAAAAATGGAAGTGTCCATGTGATAGATTTGAAGATCAAAACATTCAATCCTAGTTGTGTTATATATAACAAATCCCAGCCTACTCTGTCTTCAAGTTTGGCACATCAAATTCTCTTACCTTCAAGTTTCTGTAAATGTTTGCCTAGAAGCATCAATATACAAACTGATCCTCATTAACAAGCTCTTAGTTTATAAGATTTACCACAGCAAACAACCTCTCTCAACAAGAAATAGAACTGAGCAGTTACGGAAACTGTGTGGCACTTGTAAGCTAAGCAAAAGAGGAAATGTACAAATCATACAGCAATCAAATTCTTGTTTATTCTGGAATGAATTGTGCTCCCCCAAAATCCATGTCTTGATTTCATAACACTCAGTACCTTAGAATGTGAATGTATTTGGAGATGAGACTTTTAAAGAGGCAATCGGGGGGAAAGGAGGTCATTAGATGGGCCCTAATGCAATCTGACTCTCCTAAGAGGAAATCTGGACATACAGATATCACAGAAGTGTGGATGTGTGTTGGGATGACAGTGGAGGGAGGCAGTAAAAGAGTGCCCATCTACGAATCAAGGAGAGAGGCTTTGAGAGAAACCAACCCTGCTGGCCCCTATCTTGGAACTGTAAGCAGAACCGTGAGAAAATAAATTACACAGTCAGTGGTATTTTTTTACGTCAACCCTAAGCAAACTAATGCACAGACCTTCTGTTGTGTAGGCAGTTAGGAGTCATTGCCCCATTTACTTTACATTGCCTAAAATTAATTAATCTTTTTGGGAAAGAAGTTGCCTGTCCCATAGCTTCTAACAGATAGTACACATAACCGATTGGTGCCATGGAAGCTATATAATCACTACTCCTTTCCATTCCTTCCTAAATCATTTATTTAATGGTGATCTTGTGACTTAAACTTGAATTTGCCTTGTCTCACAGTGTTAGTCATCTTAGCTTTTATGAATGCGTGTATATGTGCATAATTAATTCATTTTAGTTTTTATAAACTTAGCTCAAGATCAGGGAATTGGGAACTGCACTTAAACACATGATCTAACCTGGAATTTTAGTTGCCTTGTTCAGAATGAAGACTTCAATTGCTATTTCATTCATTCATTAGGTGACCATGTTTCAGCTTGTGTAACAAGTGAAAACTACTGTGAATCATTAGGCCTAGGGAAGTTTCTGGTATATGTAGGACAGAACTTGTGCTTGTTGAACTGGACCATTTCAGTGAAAATAGACTCAAGTGAAATTTAAATAAAAAAGATGTTTGAAAGACTTGAGCTAACATAATGACATTGTATTTTAAAGTTTGAAGATTGATTCTAAATGTTGTGATTCATAGAGGACAAGGTACCAAAGGTTAACTTCAACTCTTAAAACAGTAAAAATATAAAGTTTTGAGTTTCCACTGACAATAGAGGCAAGATATTAAAATTCTAAGATTCAGGTTTCATGTCTACAACATTGGTAAAATACCATCCTGTCTCCTTTAAAGACATTTGGTCAGCATTAATGTCATCATGTTTTTGAAAATGACCTATGACATATGATCAATATAAACAATACTAGATATATAGAACAATAAAAATTGGTTTATATTCTATTTGAAGCCAAGTTTGTTTATGGTTAGCATATTTCATAATGAACGACCAGGTAGGTAAGGTTTAATTAATTGTGTAGAAATTAATCTGGATAATATATGTGGATAAAACACAATTGGTGTGTTATGTGCACTATCACGTTAGAGAGATTCCCATTTTATAGATGGACTAGTGATTCCTAAAGCCTTACAAGAATATATTAAAAAGTGCAATTAATGGACACTTTGAGATAATTAGTAAAGTGTTGTTACCTTTAAAGACTGGCATAAAACCCTGGCAGCAGCTCTAAGGTAATATAAAACATGTTGCTTATTTAGAAGATAAAATCTTCCAATTCATATATTTGACCATTAATTGTTCCCAGCTATTTTGGGAGATCATAGCTAAGTTTAACCAAAATGTTAATAATTCAGATTTTTGATAACAAGCCAATAAAGTATTATAAAATATAGGTTTAAAATACACCACGCTTTTCAATTTTGTGATCAGCAAAAGGCTACAGTGTTTTCAAAATAAAAACATTCAATCTCTTACTCATGGTTGCAACATTGATGGAAAAATATCAACCTTCACTCCCTTGCTTTCTTCCTTAAAACAGCACTCTTTAAAAAGAACGTATTAATTTAATATTTTGAAATGCAGAAAAGACAGATGAAAGACGAGATGTTCCATCTGCTAGTTCACTCCACAAATTCTCACAATAGTTGGGACTAGACCAGGCTGAAACCAGGAGCCATAACTCCCACAGTGGCAGCAGGCCCTTGAGTCATCACCAGGTGCCTCTGAGATGTGCATTACTGGAAAGCTGGAACCAGGAGTGCAGTCAAGATCTGAGACCCATAATGCGATATAGGATATCAGTGTCCCACACAGGATCACTGCCCTTACACTGCTGTTTTAGACTTCAACTTTTACTTACCAAGATTTTAATGTTACGAAACATAATAGTATGTCATGAACCACTAATTTTGAATGGATTTCCCTGTGGACGTTAATGTGTTCTTTTTTTGCTGCATGATGCATGCAAATCTATTTCATGATGTGTTTAAAAGAACACAAATTATGAGGCTAATCATTATTATTATGAATGAGAAACCTGACATTTGCAGGATAATGGTGGATATGAATTGTACACAAAGTTTTTTTTTTTTTTTTTTTTTTTTTAAGATTTATCTATTTATTTGAAAGGCAGAGGTAGAAGCAGAGAGAGAGAGGTCCTCCATCCACAGGTCCACTCCCCAAATGGTCACAATGGCCTGAGCTGCATCAATCTGAAGTCAGGAGCCAGGAGCCACCCCCAGGTCCCCCATGTGGGCACAGGGGCCCAAGGACCTGGGCCTCCCTCTACTGCCCTCCCAGGCCACAGCAGAGAGCCAGACCAGAAGTGGAGCAGCCAGGACCTAAACCAGTGCCCACATGGGATGCCGGCACTGCAGGCAGTGGCTTTACCTTCTACACTAGAGTGCCGGCCCCTGTACACAAAATTTTGTGAACAAAGCTAAACAAGTACTTCTTAGTTAGTGAAGAGAGTTCCAACTAATTTGTTTCCATTTAGTTTTTCTCTGAGTAACTTCCTTATTTTCCTTCATGTTAGTTTGCTGTTTTTTCATGTCTCAGACATATCTGAATACTCAGAATAAAGAACTGTTTCAAGGTTGCATGGAGACATACAACTTTGCTGAAATTTGTCTTGAAAAGAATAATTCCATCTGCCTAAAGCAATGGAAAGATCATAGTAATATAGAACTTGTCCATAAATTAACACAGGTAGCTGAGTCAAATTAAGAGTGTAAACTTTCTACAGAACTTAAGGTCTTACAGGCTCAATCTTCATCTATTTCAACATTGAAAATATTTGTATGAATGAGGAGTTCACCATATGAGCATATCATAAAAGGAAGTAAGATGAATAAAATAATGCATATCTAACTGATCTTTAAAAGAACTAACCACCTATTTATGCCCTAAGCAAATATCCTTTATATATACCAAAATCAAATTAAAGAGTTTAATTAGATTCACAAAGTGCCATTTTTTAGGTTTTTTTTTATCAGATTTTTAAAAAATTACTTGAAAGGCACAGTTAGAGAGAGAGTGAGATAGAGAGGGAGAGACAGAAAGATCTCTCAGCTGCTGATTCACTCCCCCAAATGGCTGCAATAGCCAGGGATTGGACCAGGCTGAAGGCAGGAGCCATGGGCTTCTTCCAGGTGCCTCATGTGGGTGGCAGGAGCACAAACACTTGGACCATCTTCTGCTGCTTTCCCAGGCACATTAGCAGGGAGCTGGATCAGAAATGGAGCAGCTGGGTTTCAAACTGGTACCCATATGGGATGCCGGTACTGCAGGCAGAGGCTTTACCTACTACATCACAAGGCCATCCCAGCCATGTAACTTAAAAGACAGCTGAATTTACATTCAGGTGACAAAAGGGTTTGATATTTTGTTTCCGCTCATCTGAAATATTTTGTTCAAATCTATACACTTTCATTTTTATTTATTGTTTTCATTGTTCAATAATATTTAGTAAATAGGTAAGATCACAAGTCACCATTGCAGTACATTATTAAAAGGCCCTTTCTTTAGTTT